GCTGGATACCTTCCAGGGTCCCAGAGGAACAGGAAGAGGGTTTGTCTGGGCCATTTTTTCAGAGGTGATGTCTTCTGCAAAAAAAGAAAAAGAAGAAAAACATTTATACACACTTTAACAAAATGGCACATTGTTATCCTATGTTTGGTTTACCTGTCACATACATTTCCAGTATGGTTTGCCATACTCAACAATAGCTGGAGAGATTTAAAGTGTATGTGCATTACCTAAATTTACCCCAAACCTCCCTTTTCTCATTTAGAGCATGTCCCACCATTCATTTTTACATAATAAATTGTCATGTATGTGTAGATAGAATGAGTAAGGTAGTCCAGCAGGCTGGGCTGACAACGCTGCTTAGGATTTCAGTGCAGCAAAGGAATTTGTTGTCAGCCCAAATAGAAAGCCAGGAGCACACTGCATTTCTGGCAATCACCATATATTTTTCTGTACTTGCAGCAGCTTTAAAGGGATAAAACATGCACATGTACTAAATATGTGTTTGTATTTTTTTTTTATTATGCCTTGACATAGATTTTCTTAGCAATGCAGTGTCATAGCAAACTGGAGGTTTCCCATATCTAGTGTGCAGGACTTGCACCGATGGCATATTTATAAAGCAGTGAATCTGACATTCACTGATCATTTACTGCTGGTGAATCTTCTGGGTGCATTCGGTTTAAATTAAAGTGATTGATTCACCACCGGGGATTGTTTGGTGAAACATTCACTGCTGTAAAAATATGCCCTTTATTGTGCTGAACTGTAAAGCAGACAGTCTATAGCCTCTGTAGCAGAGACACAATGAATAAAAGATTTACAGTTGTCACTGACTAACTTTGTAAAACTATAACAGAGGTAGAGTCCTTACAAATAGATGTTGAAGATGGTGTGCTGCAATCTATCAAACAAATGTCAACCATCAGCCAGCATAGTGACCTAATTTTTCCCTACTCAGTCATCTTGGCCACCAACTTTCACTCATCCTATGAATGGACAGTGAAGGAAGAGCAGAATACTGATGAGTCATCCTTCTGCTTTTTCCCCTTGTTATCATGTACCTAACATGTAGCAAACCTGATTGGCTCCTCGTGATGCCCCTCCCTTTTTCAGTCTGAAAGCTGCTGTACAGGGTATGAGGCTGATATGAAGGCAGATTTACTTACACCAGCTGCTTCCAGCACTACAATCTATTACTTTTTTAATGATACCAAAGCAAGCAATGTATTCATCTATCTATCTATCATTCACTATACAGATCCATGTTGATCATTAGTCATTCACGTAATCAGAAAGCCTGTAGCTACTTCACTGGAAGTGCCTCAGAGACTAACAATTATATTAATATCTTTAATGTAATCTGTAAATATAATGTGAATAACTTCACCTTATTTTCCTTCCATCTAATATTACTTTGATATATCTTTTTATGACTTTATGTATTTGTTTGCCTGCTTTCAATGGAGAAACAGTAACAGACCCTGTATGTGGTATCCTATTTTAAAGAGACCCCCTATTCTGTGTATTGTTCTATTGTACTGTACCCTATATACAAAACATCCTAATTTGTAGAATTGGATGCCTGATGGAGCTATGCACTCACCTCGCTCTGTCTGAACTGCTGGGATCTCCATCTGGCACTTGCCTATTCCATCCATCCATTCACAGGGTTTATATAGGGAGATGAGCCACAGGTCTTAATGCCAGCTTTTCACTTTGTGTCAGCACAATGTGGTCTGTGCTATTGTCCCCCTCTGATCCCAGGCCTCCTGTATATTGCTCTCTGCATGACTGAGCCACTGTCTATGACTTCACTTCTCTGGCCAACTTTTGCAATGTGTATATATAAAAAGTTATGGAAAATACTGTAAATATATATACTGTATATTCAGAGTAAGATATGCATTGTGCCCTAGGTGCCATTTTTCATGATCATTTATCTACTGATTTTAAGGTTTAGCTAATTTTTCTTCTTCCTATGTTTGTGTAAGGTGTCTCTTCAATCATTCATATACAACTATGGCCAAAATCAGTTTAATTCAGTAGCCTAAGAACAGCGGGGGAGCAAAGGAAACATAAATATTACATGTTGGTTAGGCCAAATTTTAAGGTTAATTTCCAAAATTAAAAATGACTTGTTACATTGCTTCTCAAAATATCCCATTTTAAAAATGTGACCTACTTAGAGACAAATGTCACTTGCTTATTTAGTGCAAAGTGTCTGCTGATAGCCCTCCTCCTCTCCCAGCAAGGTATACTCATCAATCCGTGCACCCTAGCCCCCTCCTTGTCCTCTTTCTCTTCAGACCGATGCCTTGGAGTATGGGGGAGCATGTGACCTCCCCTTTGTGACAGTCCTCCGAATTGCCAATTTAGTGTTTCATAATATCCTTATGTGAGTTGAGTGGTTTTCATTTTCTTTTTTCTTTCCTTTCTCTTATAATCAGATTTCAGATGATTTCGGTAACGGTAATCAGTACCTGGATACTAGAGGCATACAAAGTGGCTGTAATCTAATATTATGCAAAGTTATTTGTACATTTTTCCTTGGCTGAAGCTCTCATTTACATGTCATTTGTATCTATTTTAAAGTGTCAGACCATCTTAAAGGGATATAGGAAGAGTAAGAACTTGGTTTCGTATACTTCTCATACACCAACAATGAAATCTCACTGCCAAAGATTCTACTTCTGCCTAGGAATTTGGGTGTTCTTGCTTCTCCTTGAGAGTTACAGATCCTTGTGTTGAATTCTCCATAATATAAAACAAAAAACAAATCTACTGGGGAAAGATGGAACCCCTACTTATGGCCACAGCAAATGTGCAGATCCAGGAACTCGGGTGCAGAAATCTCACTAATATAAACCCCAGGAGATACAAAGACTGTCAGGAGGGTTAACTCTCCATCATCTACCAACAACTGAAATATCAGTTTTTAAAGGACATTAAGCACATATATCCCCAGAACACCCTCTCCCACTCTAGAACGTGTCCCGGCATAATATAAAACAGCTTTTAATTGCTCTGTGTGACCTCATCACCAGGCTTGTAAAATTCTTCCAGGGGCAGCTACAGGAAGTTCAGTCCCTGTTGACATCGGCATGCCCAGTGGTGGAACTACCGCCGGTGCGGGCGCACCAGGGCCTCGGCCAGGGGGGCCCAGCACCGGATCAGTATCCAGCAGCCAGCGGGCCCCCCATCTCTGCGCCGAGAGTGTCGGATCATCCGTTCATCTGACACTCCCGGCGCAGAGATGGGGGGCCCGCCGGCCGCCGGATACTGATGGTTGCAATGGCGATAGAATGCTGACCCGGATCGGGAGCCGCACTGTGTAATCTGACTCTACTACTCTGCGTCACGCCCTGACCTCTGCACTGTGCGTCACAGTGCTGACTTCTGCACTCTGCGTTACACCGCTGACCTCTGCACTCTGCGTTAGAACTGACCTTTGCAGCTTGGAAATAAAAATGTTCAAATTGATTCAACTGAGTTAGGTCCTGCGGAGCAGCCTTCTGTGGAACCACCCGGCACCTGCTAACAGCGCTTACAAGACATCAGACCGGCATTCCAGAGCAGAGAGGCAGAACAGAGTATGTACCAAATTCATATACTATTATTCTGCATTGCTTTATAATGTATTGCTGGGATTTGTAGCCCTCTACAGATGATAGCATTCTACGTTAGAGTGTAAACTTCTCTGTACAGAGACTGATGTGGCTCAGTGTTCTCTGTGCAGTACTACGGTATATGTCAGAGCTCCATAAATGTAAAATAATAGAGTGTGACTTTGGAGGGACATTAGAGTGTAAGCTCCTTTAGTGCAGAGAGAGCTGGGAGGATTATGGGGGCCGATGGGATCCAGTTCCGGCACCCCCCCTTGGGAGCAGGAAGAGGGGGCCCAGATGAAAAAATCTTGCACCAGGGCCCTTTGTTACTTAGGTCTGCCACTGCATAGCATGCAGATATTGCTCTTGAAAAACCCTTGAAAAAGTCCATGAGGATGAAACGCGTCGGAAGCGAGCGTATACATTGCTGCTATCCTGTTCATTCCATTGTGGAGCTACGTTAGGACCAATCGCCTGCTGAATATTGTGAGATATACCCCTTTGTGGGTTACAAGTTTTATCCACTTTTTATTGATGTACGTTTTCATTGTTTTTTGCGCAAAATACATTTTTTAAAGATTTTATGCTATGTGCGATATATTTGTTTTTTTATCGTTGAGCTAAAATCCCGGCTACGATCCATTTGTATGAGAAGTGAGGAGGAGATCGTTTTATTGATTCATAGCCATCACTTGTTGGAAGCCATCACTTGGTTGGGGAAAGTAGCGTCCTGTGATCAATGCGATTTGACCATTGTTTGTTTTAGCACTCTTGTGGCCATATTGCTTTTTGCTTTGTTGGTCTTTCGCTGCAGCTGTCGTTTATTTATAAAAAAAAAGGGGGGGGGACATCTACAAGCGCGAATACTAATATCTATAAAGCATGCAGATTAGCTCTGTATAGAATTTTAATGCTGCCTTCAGAATCATTTCACATAGCTGGGGATAAAAGTGGTGATGCTCTTGACCCTGATGAGACATAGGAATTTTTTATGTCAAACATACATATTTTGCCTACAATTTCTTATTCTCTCTCCCTTTATATATATATACATACATATATATAAGACTCATTGGGTCCAAGCATATGCGGGTCTACATATAAACATACTTGCCTACATTGCATGGGCCAATAAGTAAGTTTTTTCTTTTTCTTTTTGCTCAGTAGTTCTATTAAAAGTCCCTGTGACTTAGATGACGAACAGCAATTGATCACCTGCTGATGGAACAAATGGTTTCTTATGATGCAAGCTACACACTACTAACATGTAGTGAATTGCATGCTACTGCAATTACACTATATTGCTAAAGGTATTGGGAAGCCTGCCTTTACACGCACATGAACTTTAATGGCATACCAATCTTAGTCCGTAGGGTTCAATATTGAGTTTGCCCATTCTTTGCCGCTATAACAGCTTCAACTCTTCTGGGAAGGCGTCCACAAGGTTTAGGAGTGTGTCTATGGAAATGTCTGACCATTCTTCTAGAAGCGCATTTGTAAGGTCAGGTACTGATGTTGGACAAGAAGGCCTGGCTCGCAGTCTCCGCTCTAATTCATCCTAAAGGTGTTCTATCGGGTTGAGGTCAGGACTCTGTGCAGGCCAGTCAAGTTCCTC